AGGCTGGGAGCAGGAAGGTCTGTGACAGTGTTGGTCGCCGTAAAGGATGAAGGTGGTGGAAGGGCAACACATTGCGTCCTGAGATGATCTACCAGGCTCACACGTGCACGGAAAGTTCGTTGACAACGTGAGCAAGTTGGCAGGACTAGGGTGTTCACACCAGTTGCCTGTTGGGCCGGTCCCTTTTGGGCCGTCCTTTTTTCCTTCGCGGCAGTGATCCGACTGGATTCAAAAATGGCTGTGCCTTTTTCACTGTTCTTTGTCAGCCTGATCGGTCCTGCGCGAGCTGTTTCCAAGTAATCGTGTTGGTTTGAAGGCGCTTCAATGAGTTCTTCAGAGTGTCCTTGTATCACCTCTTCCCGCCCCCCCCCGTGGGCGGGCTTCCCCAACGACATCCCCTTATAGCATAATATTTGTCGTACATCCGTACCAGATGGTTACTCCAGCGCAGCTGTATCCATATCAGCGTGGCGTGTACGCTGAGAATGTTTGTCCTCTCCAGCACCTCCGTGTCCGGGATCCTGTCCTGCCATCGCAACTTCAGTTTTCGGTGGAGACAGCTGAGGTGAAAATGTTTCAGTTTCCAGACTTGGATTGCGTGAACTGAATTAAGTGAATCTGCCAACCCCTCTCTCAACAAATAATGTAAAATAGGGTTTTATAGCAGGAGATCGTGTGCCAGGACTTGCTTTAAATGATACAAGTTTCGGCAAGAGCATTCGATGCAAAAGACACTCGGCATGTGGCCTACATGGACTTTAGGAATGCCTTCGAAATTGTTCCGCACCAGCGTCTCATGTTCAAGTTGACAGTGATAGATACCGAATGCAAACTCCCTAAATTGACAGAGAATTTCCATGTCGATTCTTCCCAAGTTTTATGTTTGGGGCAAAACAATCAGGGCGCATAGTCACGGAGTGTTGACCCACAAGGTTCAGTGTTCGGTTCTATCCTTTTTCTTCTGTTCCTGTTCATTTGAGCTAAATTCTACTTCAAGAAGCGAAACACAGAAACATCAGAGCGTTTGGGTGACGGCCACTTTTAAGCCTTTTCCACAATACTATAGGGAGCCAAAATCGCAATTTAAATACTGTACGCCATCAAGCGGCTATTGAGAATTTTAGATAGAGAAGAAGAAGACTTCCGCACCTTTGTACAGCCGCGAGTCGAATGCTCCATTATAGCCTGGCGACCCTGGGTGCAGCAAGATTACAGTTTACTCAAATGGGTGCATAGAGGAGCGAAAAAAACTGTAAGAGTTCAAGCTCCACTTCTATACGAGATCAGCCTAAATGACCTTAGTCTCAATCCTCTGAATTTTAGCAGTCGCATGGTGATAAGCTAAAAACTTTCCGTATCTTGTGCGGATAGGACTGCACCTTCCTATGTGATTACATTTTCCAACTTGCCACTACAAATAAACACCGGGACATCCCCTTAAACTACGTGTGTTCCGAGAAAATTGGATGTGTGAAAATACTTTGGCAAGCTCTGACAGCATCAAATGACCAGAATCTTGCTAATGGTTAACCATAAAAAATTCTGGTGATGTAGCGTTTCGTTATCTGACTGGCTGACCGTGTTCAAACATCCCAACCGCTTGAGCCTTACTGATTCCACTTCGAAGTTGAGTCAGTGAGACTCAGCTTGCTGGGCGGTTTGAACACCGTCAGCTAATCAGATAATGAAACGCTACATCACCAGAAATTTCATGGTTTACCATAACCTAGGCTTAGGTGATTCGATACTATCACATAGGACGCCTTATGCTACTCAACTCACGGTAAGAAGTATAAACAGATACTCATTTTGTGAACTCGAAGTTGTTTATCTTCCATTAGTGAAAATGAAAAGTGAAAATGCGATTCCCAGGAGGTGAGGCAGAAGAGGGAACAGTGTTCACCGGGTGAGATTTATTAGAGGTATGGCATTCGGGGAGTTGTGTCGTTTATTCATATTCAGAGGTTGAACATTCCGGCTCACCGTCATATGCCGCACTGTCTCCGTTGCGTCACCTGCCAATACCGGATGAGCCACTGCGTATGGCTGGTATCTCATAGTCACTTGTGCCGCCGCGGCAGTATGTTTAATATCACTTTTGCTCATTTCGGTTGCCTGGTTTAGGTTGGTGTCGACTAAGCCAGTACTCTCATTCACCTGCATTTCCGAAAGTTCAGGCGCTGAATTAGCATAAACTGGTTGGTTTACCTTCCTAACTGCTAATGATGAGATTATGTGTCGGTTGTATCCTTGGAACATACGATTTCTTTGCCAGTTGGTTATGTTGGTGATAGCTTTATTTTGTATTTTGTTTTCTAGTTTCAGCTTGCAGGCACAGTCAAAATAAGATTTATTGGAAGGCGCATCTTGTGCGCGTTTTAAACCCTGGAAGACAGGGAAAAACCTTATATAAACTCCCTTTTTTGCCGTCAATATTGACTTTGTTTTGGCTTAATGCTTTGTCAGTTGTTTGCGAAATATAGAGTTTTTTAAGTGAAAATAGCAGACTTACAGGGTACAATATTAACGAAAGATATGTACGGTAATGGATCGAGCTGACAGATTAGGAGAAAAACTGCATGACTGAATGACTGAATGACTGAATGACTGAAGTTCGGGAAGAGGAAGAGCTGAAACATGAACACAGTGCTCTCAGTCTCCTTTGAGTTTTATTTCAGTTTATTCACTTTATTTGGTGTGGGTAATAGGCAATGCCA